AAATTTACAAGAGCATTCAGGTATTTCATTAAGTGGCAAATATCCACTCTGGTTTCTGTCCCCCCAAATGTGAATATATTAATTGACACAGTATTTGCACAATAAAGATGGTGTTTGATTTATAGTTAATAGTGTACGGAATGGCAAGTGTTCTGATACTTGTGGGGAAATTTTGGCAACAGTTAACAACAGTTCGCTAATTTTCCATTTACAATGTTTTTCTCGATACTTAAAATATAACAAAATGGGGACAAGCACCTTTTTCTTGGTGTAATTAAAAATTAAATGATGTCAGGAACATCTGTTTAAAAAGGGATTTCTATTTGTTTTACCACCAAAAGGTGGCGTCCTATTCCCATGCCCTCTATTTAAAAACCCTCCTTGCTTTAACTTAAAAAGAAACTTCCAGTTGGTTACTAATAAAGAAATTAAAATGTGCTCCCAATGAATGTAACGTGGTGTTGAAAACGAACATTATGTTAAGCTTCAGTTAAGTTTGCCTCTGATGTAAGCAAAATGAACATGGAGTTCTTTAATAAGGTGGCATATCAGTATTATATACAAAGTTGATTAAAACATATCGTAGGATTTACAAACAGGATTTCTTTTTGTCTGCAAAACTTTTTGTCAGTCTGACTTCAGCCCCTACTTTCAAGTGAATGTAGATTTTAAGGCAGTTCAAATGTAGAATACGATCAATGGCAATCTAAAGACTATTTAGTATGGTAATACTAATAATTTTTTAAAAACTCACTCTTCAATCTGAAAAACAAGATCAGAGCATGAACTCTTCTTTACAGACCAGGAATAAATTTGTCACATTTAAATAAGCTGCTTTTCCCAAGTTATAACCCAGCAACTTGACATATACCACAAAAATGTTGTATGTGGCATAAACATTTTAGAAATGAAAAACAATTCCCTTCCCCCTTAGACTGGCTACTTTGTAGATTTAATTTAATTCCATGTGAATTCAGCATATGAAATTCCCAATGATGTTAAAGTGTTGTTGAGAGCATTAACTGTTTGACATCAAGCTTGTACATCAGTGTGTTAGTCACAGTAAGCATACAGTAAATATCAAATGTTATTACTGACAGCTATAGACTGTGAGCTCAAGGGCAGGGATTTTATTTTTTTGCATCCCTCAGTGCCTACTATACGGTCTAGAATGTAGTAGGTGTGTTATTAAAGTATTAATTAATATATTGATTTAAAGACAACATGACCTCTAGCCTCTAAGAAGCTAGGAAGTCCTACTCAAACCAAAATGCATTTTCTTTATTTAGATTCTAGTCTAAAAGATTTGATGGATGGTCTAGTCTGAATAACATGGAATCTTGTGAAGAATGCCTTCAATATGAATCCTACTATGCTGGAATTACCTTAACACACTCTCCCTTTCTCGGGCTTTATTCTGTAGCACTAGTGAGTGGCTTTGTTATTTTTTTTTTAACATGCAAAAAAGATATAATTTTAAAGTGGTAGTCTTATGCTACCATTGAAATTGAGATTTAGAAATCTTCAGTAAATGAATGTTTAACAATATTTGTAACAAATTATCTGAAAGAATTTATAATATCCTTTTCAGGATATTTATTATCTACAACTGTGCTGGTCTTAAGACCAGTGGGACAGTACTTTGTAAGGATTCACAGGGTGGCTTCAGTACACTCTCATACAGACCTGCCTACTACACCATCTGGGAATACTGGTTTGGGAATTTGGCAGCACCTCGGGTGATGGGTCTGGAAAATTATTTCTGTTAACAACAAGCCATAGAGCTGTATATCTAAGTCACATTTTGGAAACCAAAAGTCTTCCTTCTCGTATTATGTTGATAAAAGCGAAAGAAATATTAGTCTTTTGTTTTATACATTTATGTATATTTCAAAACATTTTGTTCAGGCTCCTCATTTACCCCTTCAAATTTCCAAATTTCACCAAACTTCAAAACAGCACACAAAAAGATATCTCACCTTTTCAAAGAATTGGACAAAGCTTTTTGCAAGTGAATGATCTCTTGGATAGCAGGTAAACTGTGTTAATCTGCTGACATGCTAGCCCCTGGGCGGTTTCCTACAGAAGCCGCCCCCCCCCCCCCCCCCGCTACAATCCAGCTCCTGATGCGGCCACTGTCCTCCAGAGGACACCTAACCACCCATTTCTGTGGGGACTCAGACACCGAGGGGGAGGAAAAACGAGTCCCACACTACACTCTCCTGACTATAAACACCGGCGGAACCTCACTGGCGGGTTTATGCTTCTTTGCAAACGGGGGTTTGTCCTTCTGTTGAACTTTCACCTCCGAACTGGCCTTCTTTCATTGGACAAAGTGCAGAAAGAAAGACCAAGGGAGGACGGGAGAGGGAAGAGGGGTGGTGGAGAACACCCCCCTCACCGCCCCTCCTTCAACTGTCACTGATGGTGAAACACTTTCACTTTTAACTGGAGCCGACTCACAGCCTTGCCCATCTCTCCCCTTCCTTCTATATTTTTAGCTCAGAAACCAAGCAAATGGCCATCCCATTACCATTTTCGGCCCTCGTTAACGCTCTGCGGCGCATTTTCCCGGTGTTTGAGCCCCCCCAAAATCATCTGAGGAATCTCTTCGTCCTAGGCCCCCTATTTTCCAGGTCTTTCCAGCCAGATCCCTTTGCAGCCGGGCTGCTCAGTGTCCCCTCCCTCCCTCCCTGGTCTCTGGGGCTCTGCCGCCCTCTCCTCTGCCATTCAGCCTGGACGCTCCATATGCCCACCTCCCAGGACCCGTCTCCCCAGCCCACCCCGCCCCTGGCTCTGGCAGTGGTGATTTTTCTTCTTTCCTTTTTTTTCCTTTCTGCTGCGAGCCTTCTTGTTTACCCAGCAGGTGGATGTGACGTCAGGGACGCACAACAGCAAAAAATAACAACATCTTCCTCCGCGACGAGCTGGACTCTCTCGCGTGCCTTATTTATTTATTTGTTCCGGGAGGCGGAGGTGGGGGTGGGGTATGGAGGAAGCGGGGGAGGGGAACGGGGAGTGGGCTCCAGGGCCCGAGTTGACTGGGAAGACGGTGGCGACTCGCGCTCTGGGGGCACTTGGGCCTTGGGGGTCCCTAAGGCAGAGAGGCAGCCCTGGCAGGAGGCTGGACGACTGGCTTGGGAGCGTCCCCGGCTCGGCGCCACCCGCGCCGCCACTGCTACCGGTGCTGGCTGAGCTCCGGAAAGCTAGTCCCGAGCGGAGGAATCTATTGTTATTTATTGTGTGGCGGTCGCATGCCGTACTCGCAGCGGCCGGTTCCTCGCCCGCGAGTGCGTGTGTGTGCGCGCGAGTGTGTGTGCGCGGGGGTGCGCGCGCGGGCGGGAGTGGGCGCGCGCGGGGAAAGGCCCGAAAACACCTTAGTTTGCACCGAGAGACCTTTTGCAGCGGGTGAGTTTGTATTTTTCCATTTCTGCTCCACTTTTTCCCAAGCCGCCTCCTGCCTGGTTTCCGCCACTTTAAACAACAACCACCAGCACCAAAAAAAAAAAAAAAAAAAAAAAAAGACAAAAAAGAAAAAGAAAATGAAAATGAAAAAAAGAAAAAGAAAAAGAAAAAAACTACTTTCCACCTCCCGGCACCACGTGCATCTCCCCTAGTCCTCCGCTCTCAGGCTCTCTTGCCCAGGGTTGGGGCCCAGGCTGTGGGATCAGGGTGGGGGCTGCAGGCCTGCGCGTGGGTGGAGGGGGTTCAGGAGACGCAGCACTAGGGTCTATTTGCATAAGTCTAATGGGGGTGGGCGGCGAGGAGGCAAGGTCGCCTTCCCCTCGGCCCTTTCACGCCTCGATCTGCGCTCTCCACGATCGCCGCGGGGAGAGAAATCAATAAGCCCAGGCCGCCAGGGGCAACTTTCGATGGGGTGCCTGTGGAGGAGCGGGGCGGGCTCGAGTCCTTGGGTCGGGTCCGCAGGGGGGAGGGCCGCGCAGGGCGCCTCTGGAGCCCAAAGTTTGGACTTGGAACAAAGTTTTCCCTTCTCACTCTCCTCGGTGTCCCTGGGCTGCTCCCTGGGCCGCAGTGCAAAGATTGGAGACATCCGCGCCATACCCGGTGCCACGCATTCCGTGCCCCGAATCCGGAGGCGGGGGCATTCTTTAGTCGCTCCCCACCAGAAAACTCAGACACACCTGCACACCCCTAGCAAGACACGTACCCCACGCGCGCTCGGCCCACCGAACCCAGTCTCCCCGGCGGGGGGGGGGTGGGAGCAGGATGCGCTGCGGGGAGTCTCCGCGCCCAGATTTTCTTCTTCACCACACACTTTATGGTTTTACTTCTTACTTAAGTTTGGGAACGTGCGGGGGGGTGGGGGGTTTGGGGATTCCCAAGCCCGGATATGTCCTGAGACGCACGTAAATCGTTGCGTCCCTCTGGTCGGGTCCTGGCAGCCGAAGGCTCTCCAACCCTCGCCGCCTCGCCGCCTCGCCGCCTTCCTCCCGAGAGATCTGTTCCTGTCCGGCTGCGAGGACTCAGCTGAGCCAGCAAGCCGGGACAGCGTGCGCTTCGGGTGGAGACCGCAGTGTCAGAGCAGAGGAGTTTGCTAGTTGCCGCGGGGTCGCGGTCATTCGCTGCCTCCGCCTCCCTTCGCCCCCGCCTCCCGCCCCGCTCCTCCCCAGATACCACCAAGATCGGAAACTTTGATTCCTTCTGCTTTTGGCCCTTGGCGAGTCTCCCTCCCCACCTGTTGTGAGCTCCGCCTCTGTCCCCGGAGAGTGGAGGTGACACGCGGGCGCCGGGGAGCTCCGCGCCCAGAATCAACGTCGCATGCTCCGGTCTCAAGTGTTTGCTTCAAAATTGCTGCTTGCAGCAGCCCCCCCCCCCCCCCCCCCAATTCCCGCGCAGTTCCCGCCCCCCAAGAGAATAAGGACTAAATAAACAGTTGTAACTCCAAACCTTGCGCCCGCGATCAAATCCCTATCCCACCCCCTTCCCCTTTTCCTCCCCCCTCCTTTTTTGTTGTTGCAACTTTGTGAGATCCCGAGGAAGGTGCTCAGACTTTGCTTGGGCCGATTTCCCGGTCTCGGGATCCTTCCCTGAGCCACATTCTCTCTTCCCTCCACGCGCGCTCGCGGGTCCTCCTAGCCCGTCGCCCTCTGTCTTGACCCCCCCAGGCTACTCATTCATCCTAACCCCATCAGTTTCCCCCAGTCTGCACCGGGAAGACTTGCTGAGGGTCTCCCCGGTTTCTTGTCGACCGCAGAACCCGAAAGTTTGCCAGAGGAAGAAAGCGCGCTGCGAGCAAGCGGGCCAGGAGCTGAGGCAGCGGCGCCGGGGACCATGGTACTGCCGGCGCCTCCTCCGCAGGCGTGAAGGCGGCGCTCCCACTCCCTCCCCGGACTCCTCGGGTAAGTCGAGGCGGTGGCGGGTGCGGGGGCCAGGATACAGGCGAAGGCGCAGTGGCAAGGGACACCCCAGAGCTCCGTGCTGAACCCGGGGCTCTCTTCCTAAAACGCTGACAGGGGCGGCGCGAGTGTAGCGATAGGCGCCGGAGCCAGGAATGTGCCCATCTTCAAATACTGGACTTCCTCCCCCCCCCCCCTTTCCGAAATCCGAAAATCTGGAGATCAAAGTTTAGCGTGGAGTGTAAAGTGTTTCGATAAAATATGGTGACATCCCTCGCCCCCCATCTCTCCCTACTCCCCCTTTATAACTATTAATTATTTCCAAGTCATTGTGTCCAAATACCCTTGCCGGGCTGATTACAAAGTGTATTGATTTAGTCCGGGCTCATCCTACGCGTTCCTTTTAATTCATTTTCCTTTTGCTCCGCCAGAAAACCCAAAATGAAACAATTCTTCCTCTTCTCAACAACGCCCTCCCCCAGCCCTCATCTGTGAGGCTTGGGTAGAGTAATGAAATTAATATAAACATTTAATTTGGTTGCATTTGAGTTTCTCCAGAGCATTTATGAAAGTCTAGTATTGCTTTCGTGTCGGTCACAGGTATTTTCTAAGTTCGATGTCCCTTTTTTTTTTTTTCTTTCCTTCTTTCGTTACTGCTCTTTAAACAGGAATGCTGGAGGGGCATTCCGTATTCTTTGAAAGGAGTCTACATGTACATTGAAACCTTGAAACCGTCTACACTTTTACCTTTTTGGTTGTCCGTAGGTTCAGAATTGAGGGTTTGCATAATAGCTGAATTGAGAAAACCTGAGGGATATTTAAAAGATTTTTTTACTCCTGCAAATATATTGAAGAATCTCTGCAAATCTCTACCTCCCACCCCCGCCCCTCCGTTTTTTCACAGTGAGAATAATTTGAGTGGGAGGACCACGATGATGTCCTAACTGGAATTTGAGGAGAAATAGTCAGATTTCAGGTGTTTTTCTACCCAGGGTTAACCTGCATAATTGAGACAGAAGAATTCCTGTTATTTTCAGTTTCAGAGAAAAATGTATCAAATCTTTTTCAGAATTACACTGGAGTTTTGATTTTCAAAGTGGAATACCCATCTCTTTGAATCTAGGAAAAGAAAATTGGACTCACAGTTTCAGAGATTTGGAATGGGTTTTCTCCTCTCTGATTTTTCTACTTGAAATATCTAATGAAGAGCACTGAAAATATAAAAAGGAACTCAACTAGTTATCATTCAAAAGGTGTCAGCTAAAATCTCACTGCACAAAGGGGGAAAAAAGTTTATCACCTTGTCACTGGCTGCATTCCGCTGGCCCCCCTCCTGCCCCCATTCTAGTAGACATTGGATTTGTATGAGAGGGGAAAAAAGTAAATTTTTTTGGAAATGTAAACAGCCACCAATTGCTGAACCTTGACAACCCAAATTAAGGAAGCAGGAGAGATCAAACGGAACTGCTGCTGGGTTGTTGTCAGGAGCTCCGAGTCAAGAACCCTGGACTATTGGATCAAGCCTCAAAGCTATATACTCACTAATACAGAAATGGACCACTGCAAATGCTGATCTTTGTTGTGCGAGTTGAAGCCTCACTAGGAAGGAAATACTTAGCCTCTCCCTAGGTAGCATTTGAATTCCTTATAGATGCTGACTTGCTAAACAAGTTATTTTTTTAATGTGTTCTTGTTTATGAAGAGAATGCACTCAAAAGGTATTAAAAGATATTAAATCTTTCAAAGGCTGTCCTGCTACCCAGAACTGTGCAGTGAAATTCTTTTTACTAACATTAGACTCCTACACTAGAGTTAGATAACATTTTCTCACATCAAGTTTAGAAGATCTGCCTTGTCAGGGAAGCCAGGGTTTTGAATATGAGGGTTTAAATCTGCTGTGCAGCTCAAAAAGCAAAACAAACAAACCAAAAAACCAAAAAACAATCAAAACCTAAAACTGGTGATGAAGTTTTGTGTCAGCCCACTCTTGGAATTTAAACAGGCAAGAGGGAGTGTTCTGTAGATTAGAAATAACCTATTTTTAGAATGACATTCAACATGACCAGGTTGCTACTTTTATTCAAGTTCTCTATCTTGTCCTTGCTTGTTTTCTAGGAAAATTTAACTGCTTTACATGTTTAAAGGGCGCAGTAACAGTAATTACTTTAGCATTTTGTTTTCACAGGTTTATCAAAGTATAATGAAAGAAACATCTAGTATTCAAATTAACTGTCTGAAATTAAAAGGGTTATATTGCTGAAGATGTCTGTAAGATTTTGTGTTTATATTTAAATTCTGGAGTATAAATTGTGTAACACTTTTTTTTAATTGCTATAAACCTCCCCCAAATTAAGTGTCAGTTTTAATTGAGTAGAACAAAGTAGAAAATAGGACAAGTAAACGCATACAGAAGAATAAAAATAATTGTCATTTAAGGATTGCCTTTTTAATTAACAAATTTCGATGACATAGTAAGCACTTTGTTTTTTTAATAAGTCAGAGTTTCATAACTATAGTGCCCAATATGTTTCAAAGTCTATAGTTTTTATTGGGTATACCTTTTATTGTGTAATTAAACAATGCGAGTTAAATATACACATGGATGCTATTAGGCAATTTTCTACAATATGTAATGTTTTTTTAAAAGCTGTAAATATTTTCTAGTTAAACCATTTGTACCAACAATAACAAAAGTTAACCGGGTTAATAGTGAGCCTAAGCATAGTTTTCTGTTACTTTTTCCTTGCTTCTCTTGAGACTCTGTCCCTGACCTTGTGTATTTACATTCTCAGGCTCTATTGAAGGATATGTCTGTTTTCAGCAGTTGTTTAAATTAACAGAAGAATTGTGATATTTCCTAAATAAATATATTTATGCCACAGCGTGTCCAATGCCAATATTAAGAAAGAGGAGGGAGAACAGAGCCAATGTGATAACTTCTTTTGAACCCAGTCTTATTGTGCTGTGTATTTGGTTTTCATGTTTTACTTTAGACTCGAACTATTTTGAAATGTTACCTTGTAAGATTTGGCATCACCAAAAAAGTATGTGCATTCAGACAATGGTAGGAGTTATAGCACCAATTACAGTTCAGTAGGTATGCCAGGAATATTTACAGGGCTTTGCAAGAGTTCTGTCTTTGAAAAAATAATTTTAGGCACACGTTAATAAAATTTAAATAGATTGCAGGCTGTCAGAAAATAGTATAAATTTTGTTTATGATGCAGTTACTTTAAGGTACTTACATTAAAGAAACTCATTTAACCCCTGACTGAAGAGCATTAGGTAGGGAGGGAAGCCCTCCAAAGAGCTCCTGCTGCCCTTTGCTCCCCCAATAATCTTAAATTACTACAATTTGATTGGAACTTCAAGGCATTGAGCATGAGCTGTTTTTCTATGGCTGAGAAAGGATTTCCAGAGCATAGCTAGGTTTGCACAGGTGGTATTTGTGATTTTCAAAAAAATTTTTTTTTTTTGCTAGGACTTTTTTTTTTCCTTTTTTATCCTTTTAGGTGTCATACTCCTTTTATAGATTTCAGTCATAGTAAATGTCGTTTCAGCTAAGCCAGCAGTATTGTGCTTTTTTTTTTAAGTATGTTTTTTGAATCTAGAGTTTTCAAAGGGCTAAGGCAAGTAGGGGTTTGTTTTCTAAAGAAAATAACCTTAAGAGAGGCATCTGCTGAATAGACAGGTGAACTTTCTGCATGAGCCAACATACTCTCTTACTATTTGCAGGGAATTTTTTTCTTTAGTTGATGGTAGTAATCCTACCAGGTGATCAAACACAGTTTGTGAGTCAAGCCAGCAAGCCAAGGAAGTCTGCAATTACACGTGTATTTTCTAAGTGATCTTTCTGGTGACTTGTTACACTGGTCTGTGGTGTGTGTGTGTGTGTGTGTGATCCAAGGAGCCATCTTAAACTGATTTTTTAAAATATACTTCTCTTCCATGGTACTTGGATGAATTAAGACTAAAGGTGCCGAAAGCTGGAACATCAGCAGGCCGTGAGATGAGGCCAATCCCTGAAACGGAAGAACCTGGCCTAATATGGGTACCTTATGCATGACAGTTGTTTTTCTTTCTTTTCCCCTGGGCTCAACATAGTTTATTTCAATGTGCATGTGATGACGTGGTTAATGGAAATTAAGCAGATTTGGCTTGTGTCACCAATCTAAAAATAAATGTTGTGAGGAATGTTTGATTTTAAGAAGTGTTTTGGTTTTTGCATCCCATAGATAATGTTCTTGCTATTCGGGCTACAAAGCTGCTATTCTGGAAAGAGGAAGTACAGTGGGATAAATTGCATGGCAGTCGGGAAAGACAATTAGACAGTGTTCTTTGTTTCTTTAATGAATTATTCTTATTAATTACAGTCAGTTTGTACTGAAGCGTTTTTCAGGCCTTGTTTAGAAGTCGGCTCCCTCTCACCAGGAGGTTGTGCCACAAGCTGGATGTATCCTTGCCCTGGTACTATTTTACCCGGTCATGAAGTCTATTGACCAGATTAGCTCTGGATGTCTCTGCAAGGCTTGTTTTCCTTTTTGAAATCCCCTGGTACCAGTTTTTAATATATGTCCTGCTTTGTGCACAACAGGTGTGTGTTTGGTAGTTGTGTTATGGGATTTAAAGTGAGAAAAACATTTCCTACCTAGCCAGCCACTGGGAGCGTGAGCTGCCTAAAATAAAGAATCTGTAATTGAACAAATATAAATAGGTTTTTCCTTATGACCCTCTCCAACCTATTTTGTTTAAAACAAGTGGGGGAGGGGTTCAATTTTTAGTGCCTTGATATTTGCAATTAAGTCATAGTAATGTAAGATTATTGGGACAGTGCAAGGACAGTGGGAGCTTTGTAGTAGTCTTAGTGGATGCTGAAAACACCTTCAGTCTTGGGGTTAAATTAATTTCTTCAATTCGAGTACTTTAACTAAATTGTAAATAAAATTTATATTAGATCCTGACAATTAATAATCTGTTTAAATTACATTAAAGTATCTGGGAAA